GGGGGGGGGGGTGGAGGGAGACGAGCACAATCACGGGCGCACTGGGGGGGGAGGTGGGCGCTGGCGCGGGCACGCAGGGTGAGGTGGGCATGTGGGGGGGGAGGCAGGCACAGGCGTGCGGGAAGGAGGCAGATGCGGGCGCGCTTGGGCAGGGAACACAGGTGCAATCATGGTCATCTCCCCCTCTAGCACAAACACGGCCATCTCCTCCTCCCCACATCACAACTGCGATCGCGCCCATGCAGCGATCATCACCTGATGCAGAGTTCGCGACCTGCAGCAAAATTTTTATGAAATTTCTCTTCGCGACCCGATTTGGTCATGAACTGAGGCGTTTGTGAGCCAAGGTACCACTGTACCTCTACTCATAAGTAATTCCCATTAAGGGGCTTCTTCTCATGGAAGTGGGAGCCAATCAATGCAGCCTTCCCCAGCCTTCATAGTTCTGGACTGTGGCACTCAGAAGTCCTGACCGTTAGCCATGCTAGGTGAAGTCCAAAACATCTGGAGGTCATCAGGATGGGGAAACCTTTTATGGAATTGTAAAGATGTGTAGCAGGCCTGCACTCCAAGTTAAGGCCTGGGTCTCTAACTCCTAAGGATGTAGGCCTTGCTAGGCCTGGGTAAATTCTAGATGCCTTGTCTGTCCTAATTATGATATAGCACCTGTGTTATCTCTTTCTGGCCCCACCTGAGCACCTTAACAATAGGGGACACCTCTTGGCCTGATAAGATGGGCCAAAGGACAACCACCCCTCTTTATTCACCTCTTCAAACCAGCCCTTACTGGCCCTGCCAGTACACTCTGCCCTCATGCAGGCTGCAGCTTATGCTCTGCTGCTGGACACTCCGTTGTCTTGGCACCCCAGAGAAGGGGAGACCCCCAGAGAAGGGGAGACCCTCACAGAAGGATCTTGATGAACTAGGCAGGGACCCATCTCTGTTATGGTGCCCCTCATTGCTCCTTGGCATCTATGCAAACAATCTATGTCCTGATATGTTGCTCCTGATATTCTTTGCAAGTCTCAGCTGATAAGGAGCCTTAGTCTTGCGAAGAATGGCCTTGATGGGTTACACCTGAGAGTACTTCAAAAGTTGGCAGGGGTTCTCTCACACCCACTGGCTTCCATTTTTGAAGTTCCAGAGGACTGAAGAGTGGCGTCAGTGGTCCCAGTATTCCAAAAGGGTAGTAGAAGGGGCATGGGGAGTTACAGACCAGTTAGTCTTGCATCCATTGTAGGAAAAACAATGAAAGACTCATAATAGCAAGAGATCTAGTGAAGTTAGATAGAGAAGAGAGGCTGGTGGCCACACAGCACAGTTTCCTCAACAACAGGTCCTGCCAGACAAACCTTGTGGGATTCTACAACAAGGTTTCGAGGTGGCTAGATGGAGTGGATGTGGTTTACCTGGATTTCAGCAAGGCCTTTGACAAAGTGCCCCATGATATCATGGTTGAGAAACTGAGGAGTTTTGAGATAGACCGAAGCACTGTCCGATGAATTAGGGCATGGTTGAATGACTGAAAGCAAAGGGTAAACATTAGTGGGGAATCATCAGGATGGTACCCTGACAAGCGGAGTCCCATAGGGCTCTGTCATGGGGCCGACCCTGTTCAGTCTTCTCATCAATGACATGGAAGAAAGGGTGACGATTCTGCTGATCAAATTCGCAGACAACACTAAAACTGGAGCAGTGGCCACAACTGAGGAGCAGGTACTCCAGATCCAAAAGGATCTGGACAGTCTATGGAAGTGGGCAGGAGACAACAGGATGGCATTCAATGTGGATAAGTGCAAGGTCTTGCACTTGGGGCATAGGAATAGCTGTCATAAGTACAGGTTCGGGGACAAGAGGCTGGAGAGCAGCACTTGTGAAAGGGATCTCGGGGTGCTGGTTGACTGCAGGCCAAACTGAGTCAGCAGTGTGATGTGGTGGTCAAGAGGGCAAATGCTACCCTTGGTTGCATAGCCAGAAGTATGGCTTTTAGATTGAGAGAGGTATTACTACCACTCTATACAACTCTGGTGCACCCGCAACTGTAGTTTGTGTTCAGTTTTGGGCCCCTGGTTACAGGAAGGATATAGCCAGGTTAGAGTCAGTGCAGCGTAGGGCCACAAGGTTGGTGGCTGGTTTGCAGGAAAGCCATATGAGGTGAGACTGAGGGAACTGGGTCTTTTCAGCCTGGAGAAAAAGAAACTCCAAGGGGATCTGTTGGCAACATACAGGTATGTGAGGGGGTGTCAGACAGAGGTGGGTAGAGAGTTTTTCTCCCCTGCAGAGGAGGGCAGGATGTGCTCCAACAGAGCAAAGCTCAGGGAACCAAGGTTCAATTTAGATGCCATGAAGTACTTCCTGACAGTTAGGACTCTGAGGGTATGTAATGGGTTTCCACGGGAAGTGGTGAAGGTGTTCAAGGATAGGATAGGCATGCGCATGGTGGGCAGAGCTGGCTGAAGCTGGGGGTCAGACTAGATGGCCTAGGAGGCCCCTTCTGACTCGCTCTGTTTTTACGTTTTTATACACATGACAATAGGGAACCTACATTGTAGTCATACAACAACAGAATCACCAACAGCTGGAGACTGAGCAATCTCCTGTCCAAAACCTCCAGCCATAAGGTAAACCAGCCTCCCAGGTGTGTGCAGAGATCCAATGGCTTCAAATGTTCCTACCAGGAATCCTGGTCGGAATTTCAACCCAATAAGCCACTGGTTCCTACAGGGTATAACAGGGGCTCTACCATGCTCCAAGGGCTTATTGCTATTTTGCTGCAATTGAACTTATTCTCAAGAATAAAGATACTTTTTCAGTCACTCACCTTTGTCGTGCTTAATTGGGCCAAGTGATCCAAGGTCTGGACCCCTTGTGTCCAACAAATCCTACTCTTTGCCTCAGGTGCTGTTGGTTGGAACTTGAAGTTGTACTAAAAAAACAAAGTTGAAGCTACAAGTCTGAAGTCTGTCCTATCCTGGACTAAGTGGACATGATAAAAGTTTATAAAAATTATACAAGATAAGGTAGCAGTAAAGACTAGCAGGAAAATTGACATCATGATGCAGCTGGGCTCTAATGTTATTACCTGGTCTATAATCCGGCAAATATACTTTATAGGAAATTGGATCTTTTGGTTACGGCGTCAGGGTAAGAAGGTTTTTTTTAAAAAACAAACTAAATAGCAGCCAAGTAGAAGAAAAGATCAGATAATAAACTATGACTTCAATATTTTCATGCTGATGTTTTTGAAAAGTATGAGTGAGTGGAATAAACAACCCTCTGTGCAGAAGGAGAGTGCTCCTGGAGCCTTATCATGTCCAAACACTTTTTCCTTTTCTTCCCAAGCTCCACACCTCTTGAATCTAATGGTGGCACAGAGATGGCATGTGCATGCGGTGCAGAAGATAATTGATAGAATTGCCTCATATCAATGCCAGTAAATCCTGGTCCCGGTAACTTACCCCCTGCTCTACAAAATACCATGCCCTTAATTTGAATCGGAGTCAGAAAGGCTCCACAGCTCACCTTGTCTTGAACCATGGTGGCCTGAAGTATCCCTGCCAGCAGCCTCTCATGCACCCCCACAAAAGGAGATTCCAAAATTACACCCAGAATTCCCCTTGCAGTTGGAAAGTTTCTCCTAGTGCTTAGCTTGTACCTGCATCCCTTTGGTAGTCTCCTTGTTCTGCCCTCAGCAAACAGGGGAAAGGTATCCTTTTCACTGGAGTTTAAACAATCCCGTCTTCATGCCTCTCCCTCCCTCCTTGGTAGCTAATTTTATTAGGCTACCAAAGAGGCTTCCCACCTTCCTGAAAGCTGTAGGAGCTGCAGCGTATGACCTGGTGCATATACCTAATAGTGAAAGGAGGGAAATCTTTTTGTTCTTATTACTGTGTACAAATATTCTGGGCATATGTGCTGAGAATGAGCACCGAAAACAGTCATGTTCTGACTGAAATCATGCCCTGCTGTGGAAAAAGAGCAGGCAGGACACAGGCCCCCTCTTCCAGCCGTCACTTGAGTTAACATGGCCCCAGGGCACCCTTCTTACCCTGGACGGTAGCACAGGGATCCTTCTGCACACTCAGAGGAATCCACAAGGAGAGTTGAGAGAGGGGACAGCTGTGCCTTGCAGAGCTGCTGCTGCTTGTTGCTGCTGAAGCTCTCCTGCCTCTTATCTGTAGCCTCCAGCCACAGAGCAAAGTGAGGGCAAGCCGCTTCCACAGCCAGATGCAGACTAGCGGAGCAGGTGGAAGGACGCTTCTGGCAGGAAGCCCCTCTGTCACCCCTGCAAGCATGGAGCATGGCTGGAGACGCCTTGCTGCCTTTCTGGCTGTGGCGTTTTGGGCCTCTGGCTCATCTCAGGGGGGCGTTGGAAACCTCCGCACTCATTTCAACAGCAAAGGTACCATACCTGGGCAAGTGCTGGCCACTTGGGTCTAGCTGAAGCAAGGGTGGGGGAGAAGTGAGCGACTGTGATGGTGGGGAGGAAGGGAGTGAAGGGCTAAGTGCAGGAGACGCTGCTGCGCTAAGAAAGAGCATCTTGTGTAGGGCAGTGTGTCTGCCTGGGACCAGTGCCTCATTTCAGCACCCTGCAACCCTAACTCCAATGGCAGGAAGGTAATATGCGCAAAGCAACCTGCACATTATGAAGCAAATTGTATTGTATCTAATATAGCCTCTTCTATGTATGCCTGCTCTCCTTCATTCTTGCTCCACTGCTCTTTACCTAAGTAGTATGAAAAACAGAATTTGGCAGAGTTGAAATTACAAATTTAGTGGTCATTGCTCCTCCTTTTCCTGCTTCTCTCTCTCTTTCTCTCCCTCTCTCCCACTCTCTCTCTTTATTTCTTATCTGAAGAGATTAAACCCTGGAACAGCTTCTTGTAAAATCAAGTTGGTTCTTTATTTATGTATTAATAATTCTTATACAGCTCCTTTTCACAGATGTTACTAAGGTGGTATAGAACAATTCAAATAAAATAATATATGAATGCAGTTAAAAACTATATCAAAACATGAAGATAAGATTAACAGTGGTAAAAACTACATTAAAGAAATGCAGCCTAACTCCTTTCCCAAGAGGCAGTGGAGTAGCTTTACAGTTGAAACACCTTTACAAAGTTTGTTTGGTCCTACATAAACTTGACATGGATGCTGGATATACTGGGAAATGCTTGAGGCAAAGGCAGGAGTATTTCTTGATTCTCCTTCTGTTGAAGGGAAGAGCTGGGCAATTCTTTGTTGCATGGAAGCAATTGCTCCTCAGTCACAGAGGACTGTTCCATAAAGTGGCACTACCTAAGGACCATGTATGGTATCTATTACAAACACCTACAACCCAAGTGTGTACTTAACAAGCTGCCCCGAGGTTTTTGCAAATGGGGCGGCATATAAATGTTCCAAATAAATAAATAAACAAACAAAGCACATACTAAATTCTAAAGCACACATTGATTCATTAAATTTCCCATGTGGCAACTGAACATCACCATTCCTTGCAACCATGTGCATTCTTCAGTTAAAGCCAAGATAGAAAAACTAATTTTTTTAGTTCAGCATTTACTATTCTTTGCTCATGTATTCATTATTTGGCACTTGTTCTCACCATTTGTTGATATAATGGCTACATTCATGGCATGGAGGTAAGTACCCATTTAAGAAATGCCCAGTGCCTACCCAGACTTCTGAATAAGAAAAATTATGCAAGAAGTGAGACAGAGCTCAGGCTGATCCCAGAACTTATGACTACCATCACCACAATTTTTGAAGCATCATCTGGTGAGATTCCTTATCTATAAGAGGCCTGTGCATACATTGCATCTCATTTAATGTCTATTAAGTGTAATCTGAATGCAATGTAATCTTATATTAATCTATATTAATGTACCTTATATAATGTATATTTAATCTATTTCAAACTGAAACACTGATTGTGAAGAGTGACAACACTGCAGATTGCACAACTGTGTGTCATTGGAATAGGCATGAGGGAAGGATCCGACCCAGCTTGAGGGATGTTTGTTAGGGATGCCAGTTAGCAATGCTTGCCCGTCTTTGTCAGATGGCAACAGCATCTATTGAGTGAGGATGAATGAGCGCTCCCAGATCAAATGCCACAAATACAGTTAGCTTGCGTGTCCCTTAACCTTTGAGCTCTTCTGCTGAAGCCGTTCACAGCTGGCTGCCAATGGCCAAGTGCTGAACAATCCAGACATGCATGCTGGCATGTGCATGAGCCCATCCTGCCAGTAAAATAGGCAAGATGAAGCTTCCCCCCTGCAACATCTTGCCCCTAACTTGCTTTTACAGGGGATCCAGGTCATATTTTGCTTGCATCCAGCAGGAGGAAAGGCAAATGTGCAGCTCCAGCTCCTGGACAGAGCTTTTCAATGGCAGCAAATGCATGCACAGCACTTGCTCGAACCTCTCTGCCTTCCCTTTGGGTCATAGTTGTAAAGCCCAACCCACTTCCACAGGGCAAAGGGACATCCGCAGCAGAAGCCTTTTGGTAAACACAAGCTTGCTCCACTGCTGAATTAGCCCCTGAAATGACAAGCTTCTGTCCAATGTCTACTTTACAACCTCCTGGAATGCCCACTGCTTAAGGTGTTGTCCTGTCAGCCTGCAGCTGATGCTCATTCCTATAATTTCTACTGCTCTTCTTGCTTCTCAGCTACTTCTTTTCAGATCTGTCAGCCTTTCCTCTCTCAATCCTTTCTTCTTGTAATCATCTTGTGTTCATTGGCATATTTTATATTGTTTTTGAATATGGACTGCGCAGAGAATTTCAGCTGTTGGGCAGTATAGAAATTAATTATAATTTCTTAGTTGCCCTCTAGGTTTGTGATTCTCAAATGTGTGTGGGTGGGTGGGTTAAAATTCACCTACAGGAAGTGTTCCTCTATGGCTCCCGTTCATTTAAATGGTATTTGTGCAAGGTAAGTTCCTGGGGGATTGTTATGCTAGTGCTGGGTAGAGAGAGTGATTACTGTTACTTCTTGAATCATAAGACTAACACACTGGTGGTGGTATAAATGATCACTCAGTGTAAATCTGCACATATTCAAGGGCACAACTATCTCTACACTTGAAGGTAAGCAAGCAGGTACACATATTGATAATGGTTGAAGAATCTTAATAATCTAAGGAAGGACACTGTTCCCATTTTACAGATAAATAAGCGAGAGAGATATCAAGGTCATTTCCCATCATTACATGGCTACCAAAAAATACTGGACTGGCCCCTCTGGGTGGGGACACAGCTAAGCATTCCTGGTTGCCCTACTTTGATGGCTTATTTTTCACTTTTATATGGCTATCTTGTTTTCCAAATAAGCCCACTGGTAACCCTCTTCTTTCCTGTACCTCTTTCACCCAGCCAGATTCTGCTGTGACTGGCGGGAACGGAAAGCAAGGATGGAGGGTGTATACCCAGGTCCAGCCCTTATCTCGGGAAACACATGTCAGATGGTGATGGCTGAAAAATGTGTGTGCGTGTGTGCATGTAGCATGTGGAAGAGAAATGGACCATAAAATGCATAACTGCTAATCATGTGACTCTGAACACGAGGGGAGCCGTTTGTGCTTTTTGCCCAAAGAACAGCAAGAACAAGCAGAGCTGCACAACCAAATGCCAGGGTGCATCACTGGCCCTGTGTGTTTCCTGCCCAAGGGAGAGGCAAAAGTTAGCCATGCCAGAGGCAGGTCTCTGCTCGCCTTACCTCAGCCTGACTGACTCAGCCTGAAACTGTAAAAGTGCAACTGGGCTGCGTGCAAGACGTTGGAACAGAAGCTTCTTCATGCAACTGCATGCTTGATGCAGCTGAGGAGGAGCTCTGAGGGGGCAATTTAAGTAGACTGTGGGTTGAGAGGTACAGGGAATATTTTAAGGAGATAAAAACCAGAATCCGCAGTACATGTGACCTGCAATATTAACAATGAACAAAATCACAGGGCTGTGGTAACGCAGTGGATCCCTTTCAACACAGTTCTCCAACTTACAAAAGAGGCATAATATAACAGTAAACTACAGTGCACGGTTGTTATAGACTGCTGTAACAGTCCAGCTCACAATGAGAGGTTAAAAGCAATGAATAGCTTTTCTGGGATGTTGTGAGCTATTCCTCCAGGTTTAGCCCAAGTTACAATACAGGCATACAACTCTGGATAACACAGTAATCCATCCTTGCACAGTCGTTGTCAACCACTCAGAGTCTGACCAGCATTTCTCAGTATGGAATACACTGTAGAGCTGTCAAATGCTACTGTCTGCTAGCCACAATCCCTTCCAAGCTGCAACACAAATGAACTTGGTTATAATTTTCATTAGCACATTTTTTGAAAAAGCACATTAAGAACGAAGTTAAGAAGAGCAGGAACTCTTCTCTTTGCTGCTATTTTGTGAGTTTTCCTTAGACTGGGATGGACAGTCTTCCAGGCTCATCCTGGTTGTATTAGCATCTTGGACGGTTCCCAATGATTTCTATGAAAAGTTTGCACTCCTATCTTTCAGGACATCTAAAAAGATCTTCTAATGAGAACAAGGAAATGATCTCTCCAGACAATAAGGAAGTTCTCTGTATGTCTTTTATATCTATGTACTCCTCCTTTTTCCCAGGCACCTCAGCCCTACCCACCCCAACTGTCAGCCAGCATTTCCAGGCCACTAAGCACACTCAGTCTTCTCTGGGCTGATTGATAGGAGTGAACTCTCACTTCATCGTTCTTTCCCTCTAAATATTTCTTGTACTTCTGAAAACACTGGGAATTCCCCAGGTCTGCTAATGCCTCTTTCTTGTGCCTCAATGGGGCCATTTTGGCTATACTGGTGAAAGCACTCAGAGATTTAACCAGAACTTGAGGAATCAAGTGGAGCTCTGCAGAAAAATGTTGCCACATGGAGAGCATTTGTTCAGGATTCCAGACCATGCCCTTTGCCTCCTCCTCAGTTTCCCCTTTCCTCCTTCCAACAGCCAGCCAACACGCTGTGCCTCCTAAGCACACTCAGTGATTACGCTGTTTTTATTTCTCCCCTCCATTTTGGCCTAGCAACACAAGAAGCTGCCTTACACTGAGTTGGTCCATTGAGCTCAGTATTGTTGACGTTGCCTGGGCTCAGCAAGCAACTCTGTGTGGCTACCATGGCTCGGTTTGTGTTTACCTTGAAGAGTCTGACAGACGCTCATGCTCATGGTGGTAACTTCCCTTCCTTCTGCCATCTCCTTCCCCCTCAGTCCTCCAGACAGTACCCCTGGAGGCTCTGTGGGGAGGAACCAGGCTCCTCCCATTGACAGCCATGACTGCAAACTCATTTCTTCTCACCTCAGCTCTCTTGCAGTCTCTACTGCACAAACAGAGCCCATGCCCTGTAATGCATGAGGGAGCGGATCAGGCACCCTGCAGAGGGGGCCACTGGAACAGGGGATGCCTGATCCATGGTGCCCGGTTGGGGCTGCACAGCTCAGCTGCTTCTCCTGCTGCCCCTGCACATGCCTGAGGGGGGAGAATCAGCTGGGCATCACTGCCCCAAGGAGTGGCACCAGACAGCTGATTCCTGCACAGCCTTCCCCCGCCGGGGAAGACTTTCATGCATGCAAGTGTAGCGGGGGAGAGTGAGTTAGGCAGTGGTGTGGAAAGGGGCAGCACCGATTCCCCTGTACCTGCCCCTTTCTTGCCCCCACTTGCAAGTGAGGCATCCCCAACCTGGAGCCCACCTGAGCAGCTTCCTTGCAAGCAGCATTGAAGAAGCAGGAGGCAGAGTTTGTCCCCTTTCTAAATCCTGCCTGTCCAAAAGGCATCCTCACCCCGGTGCCACAATGGAGGCTCCAGTTTCATAACACTCCTTGGACAAGCAGGGATGGGAAGCAGTGACAGCTCAGGGATCACCTGAGGAGGGCAGCTCCCACCCAGCTGATTATTGCCCCTCCTGCCCACATGTGGGGGGAGGTGGGGGGATCAGGTGAGCAGCATTGCCCCTTTCTGCGGTGACACCTGGCTGATTGCCTGCCCCGCCCCAAATAAGCTCTTAGGGCAGGAGGCAGGCAGAGTGGGGAGGCCCCTGACAGCCATGCAAAGCAACCGCTACCAGGGGCACTCTCTGGTAGCCGCTTGGCACCAGCAGAGCAGACCACTCTTGCCAAGCAGCAACCAGGTTCTGGCCTTGGGCCCACAATAGATTGTGGCTCCAGGTCTGGATGACACAGAAAGTCATCATGGTATGGAGAAGACCACGTTTTTCTCTTCATGGCTTCAAAGATGACACGTACCATGCTGAAATGCAATGTTTGAATTCAGATTGGTTTAGCAGACCAGCTCAATGCAGGACCAGTGCATTCCTCTGCTCAGTTAAACCATCCCTTTCAGATGGCTGTCCAGTTACATCTTGAAGGGTGGGAGACTCCATAACCTCCCTAGATCATGGTATGTTGTACTGCTCTGACAGTCAGGGAATTTTTCCTGATAGCTAGCCAAAATCTGGCTTTCAGCCTGTTATTCTGTGTCCTCCACTCTGGGATGAACAAGAAGGGATCCTAGCCTTCTTCCTTGTAACAACTTTTCAAGTACTTGAAGACCGCTATCATATTTCCCCTCTTCATTCCTCTCAAGACTAAACATGCCCAGTTCTTTAAATTTCTCCTCATACGGCTTTGTCTCCAGCCCCCTGATCATTCTTGTTGCCATCTTCCAAAGCTTTTCCAGCTTGTCTATCATCTTTGTTAAACTACTGCTGAATAAAGGATTCTATCAGATTCTATCAGGGGCCATGAAGGCCATTGGGTTCAACCCCCTGCTGTTGCAGGACACCATGTTACACCATCCCACTCAGATGGCTGTCCAGCTTCTTTCTGAATGTCTCTAGTGTGGCAGCCCACGATCTCTCTAGGCAACTTGTTCCACTGTTATATTGCTCTGACAATGAGGAAGCTTCTCCAGCCTGAATCTTGGTTGTCTCAGTTTGACTTGATTATTCTATGTCCTACACTCTGGTATCAGCGAGAAGAGATCTTGACCTTCCTCTTTGTGACAGCCTTTGAGGGACTTATAGAGGGATATCATGTCCCCTCTCAGTCTTCTCTTCTCAAGGTTGAACATAGTCAGTACTCTCTGTCTCTCCACATAGGGCAGTGTTTCTAAACCCTGGATCATTTTTGTTTCCCTCCTCTGGACCCTTTCTAATTTACCTGCATCTTTCTTAAATCTTGGTGCCCAAAACTGGACACAGTATTCCAGACAGGGTCTGACTAGTGAGGTGTATAGGGGAAATACTTCTTATGATTTGGAAGTAATACTTCTATTAATGCATCCCACATTAGCATTTGCCCTTTTGGCACCTGCATCACATTGTTGGCTCATATTTAGCCTCTTGTCCACAATAACTCCAAAGCCTTTTTCAGTTCTGTTGAGCCACATATTCCCCAACTTGCATTGATGCATTTGGTTTCTTTTCCCTAGGTGGAAGACTTGGCACTTGTCCCTATGAAATTTCATTCTGTTGCTTTCAGCCCAGTGTTCCAGTTTATCAAGATCATCCTGATTCTTCATTCTGTCTTCTAGGGTGTTCACTATTCTCCCTGTTTTGTATCGTCTACAAGGTTGAGTATCCTTCCTTGTATTTCCTCATCTAAATCATTAATGAAGATGCTGAAGAGCACTGGGCCCAGGACTTGAACCCTGTGGCACCTCACTAGTTACCTCCATCCAGTTGCCATGAGTTGCCATGAGCACTCTTTGTGTCCAATTTAGCAGCCAATTTTGGATCCACCTAATAGTTTTTCTATCTAGTCCACTTTTTGCTATTTTTCTTATCAGAATGTCATGAGCACTATGTCAAAAACTTTGCTAAAGTCTAGGTAGATTATGTCCACAGTGTTCCCTCTGTCCATTCGGGAGGTTACCCAGTCAAATATGACTTAGTACATCTGACTTTCCTAAAATCCAGGGTACATGTTTGGCTGTATCGGGCTTTTGCCTCCTTTAGAATCAAGAATTCAAGTATGGCATGGTCACTTTCCCTCAGATTTCCTGTAGCTGCCACTTTGTCCACTAGGACTTCCCTGTTGGTTAGTATCAAGTTAAGGATAGCTGTTCCTCTTGTTCCTTCCTCCACTTTCTGTTGGAGGAAGTTATCAGCAACACATGTTAGGAATCTCTTGGAGGGGCCGTCTTTGGCAGAATTTTTCTTTCAACCCATTTTGGGGAAATTGAAGTTCCCTATAACAGTGACATCAAGCCTCTTCGAAGTACTGGCGATTTGCTTTTCAAAAGTCTCATCCTTGCCTTCTCTTTGACGAGGTGGTTGATAACAGACTCCAGCAACTGTCTTTCTTTCATTCTTTGCTCCATTTATTTTAATCGGGATGCTGTTAATGGGGCCACTAAGCTCATCCTCCTGTATTTTTGTGCAGAAGGATGTAGCTTTAATATATAGTGTGACTCTGCCTCCCTTTCTTGGTCTTTCCTGCTGCATAAAGGTCTTTTTCCCCTGAAGATTTCTTTTGACATCCACATATTTTGGGTCTATTCCAGTTCTGCTGATACCTACTTTAGTTTTGGGGAACACTTGAATCAGAAATAGAAAGAATAACAAATGTCTATATGGATATCTGTCTACCTCTCCCTTCTAAGATTCACTGCAGCTTACATTTATTTAAAATCACAATATTGTAAAATATAATAAAATACAATAAAGATAAAACAAAGGCAGAGAGCACAGATAAATAGAACCCTTCCATAAAATAGCAAATACTTAGCAAGCGACCCCCTGCTGCAATAAACATCACTTTACTGGGGTAAAAGATAGCCAGAGATGGTGTCATTGGCCTGTGATAACGTGTTCTACCAAATTGGTGCACCCACCTGTCTTCTGGGACTATTGATTGGGTCTCTAGCCTAGTTGGGACATAGCAAGGGGCCTTCTCTTCACATCTTTGGGAACGGAGAGGGATGTCTGAGAAAAGCTGATCCCTCAGGTAGCCTCAACATGAGCCATCATCATTATTGTAGTAATTGTTGCCATTGTCTTGTCATCTTTAATATTTTTAACAACCTCTGGATGCTCTTATTTGTAATGAACGTTGCCACCCACATTTACTTATATTTTGTCTAAACTTACTTAGTTCCAACCTTTATTCTAAATGCTTTATTTGAACATTTCAGGAAATTTGCCCTGTATAGCTCCTTGTCCCAATCCACAGCTCTTTAAAACTTTCTTAAGTGTATGTATTCTCCTCTCTCAGGTTAACAGTGACTTTGTGGGTAGGGCCTCAGAATGAGGGCAATGCATTAGAGCCCATATCCCAGTCTTAGCCCGAGTTATTTACACACTCACACACCTGCTTTATGTCCAATAAGGACACAATGGGGACTCCAAGCAAAGGATTTCCATGTCACGTGTAGCCTGACTGATTCAGAAGCTGAATCAATCATGAAAAGTAGACCTTTGAAAAAAGAATAATTAAATTTGTACAATGTATACAGGTTTCAAAACTCATCTTTTCTTGCAGAATTTGGGTTCTGTTGAGGAAAAGGACACTTGATTTTGTTTTTAAATCAGATGCACAGCCTTAAAGGACAAAAAGCATGTGAGGTTAGGGAGGTGGGGAATTTGCCTTCTGATTTCTGTGTGTAATATGAAGCCTGCTACTCTACTTTGCATCTAGCTGAGCACCTACTGAGTGAGGAGCCCCTGAACCCCAAATGTTTCACACAGCAGCTGGAGGATTTGGCCTGCTTCTGGGAGACACCAGAACCCCTGATGGAGGGAAACAACCAGAACACATACAGCTTTTGCTACAAGTTTTGGTGAGTGCCTTTTTAGTGGTTTTAGAGACACTAGTGTCAAGCAGGGTGGCCACTTATGAATCACCAAAGGAAAGCAAATGTGTCCCTGAAGAGGTGACAAAAGAGTACGGAGATTTCCAGAACATTTGGATATGCTAATTTCTATCCTTTGATGTTAATTTAGAAATTATCATTGTAACACCCCAAAGTGCCAAAGGTTTATCACCAATGGGGAGGTTTTACCCTGACTTAATATGTGCTTTTCTACTCCCCAAATGCTTAGAGGTTAGACAAAAGGGATATATGATTGCAAAGAACAATGTACATTGAAATGGATCTTGCGAGGAACACAGAGATGAATTCACATATTGATGAATGAACACATTGATCAAAGAACACTGCATATTGAGTAGCACTGACAGTGAGCTAAAAGGAAACGCCCCAGACTCAAAGCTGCCACAAGGGGCAATGTAAATGCCTGCCTTGCCGCAGGAGTAAAAGTGGCATCCATCGTTTTACTTGGGCTCTACATTTTCTACTGCCATGGTGGGGAAACATAGAAACATAGAAAGTCAGAAGGGACCTCCTGGGCCATCTAGTCTGACCCCCGGCTCCAGCCGGCTCCGCTCACGACATGTCCACCATGTGCATGTCCAGCCTATCTTTGAACACCCTCACTGATGGGGCCTCCACCACCTCCTGTGCAAGCCCATTCCATACCCTTGGGGTCCTAACTGTCAGGAAGTGATTCCTGGCATCTAAAGGGAACCTGGGTTCCCTGAGCTTTGCTCCACTGGAGCATGTCCTTCCCTCCTCTGCAGGGGAAATCAGGTCTCTACCCACCTCTGTGTGACACCCCCTCACATACCTGTGTGGCCTTCTGATCTTGGGAGACTGACTGTCCCATCACCCCTCTCCACTGGCTGTGCTGACTGAGGGTGACAGGAGCTGCAGTCCAACAACACCTGGAGGACCACCCCTGTCCCACCACTTCTCTTTGGGAACTAGGGACACCAATTGCACAGAAGCTTCCTCCCACATTTGTGTAACATTTTACTGCCTGCTCCTGTTCAGGGAGGATACGTCTTCAAGATCGTGTAACCTGACCGTGGAGCTCACATCCAGGAATACCACACGCTACACTTGCTTCTTTCGAAGGCAGGACATCTCAGCCTTCATACCCCTGGAGATCAATGTCTTTGATGACCGTTCCCCCAACAGCACGCTGTACAGCCGAACAATCTATGTGGAAAAACTAGGTACGTCCCAAGTACAAGGATGGGGGGCCTTGCAAAAAGTGCTCCTCACCCCCGAAAGACTTCATAGAATGGAAAGAGCCTCTATGCAATGCCTTGTCTCTGGACTCCCAAGTTGTTCAGCTAAAGCGCAACTCTTTCTTCCTAGGGTGCTTACCCATGGCCAATGGGAAGAATAGGCAGGGCTGGGCTCCTGTCAAAAGCCCATACCCATCAAGGGGTCACTTTAAAGACAACCCCCCCCCCACAAGTTAGAAGAAACTAACTCCTCTCCCTTCCCCCTCCCCAGTGTAATCTGCTTGTTCACTTGCCTAGTGCTCTGACCCACACAAGTAGTGGTGAGGAGGAGGAGCTGGTGATCATAGTGACAAAAAGACAGGTTCCCAGAGGGAAGGAGGCCTGTTGAAATTGTCTTCCCAAGAGCCCCCCAAAACCAGGGGCATACCTTACAGTTTGGCACACAACAGATATCCAAGTACAAATAAATGGAAAGTGGGGAAATGCTGCCACAGTTGAATAGGCCAAACAAAGGCATACTCACTTGCATGATATCTGAGGCTCAGGCACACTGACTCCAAGGGACTAAGTTGTCAACTTGTATATGTGGCAGGATGCTTATGGCTGTAATCACCACACAACAGGCTGAAGTTGGGCAGGTGAAGCTTCCTCAATGTTGCATCTCCAGGCCAGGAAAGTGTCACTTGTTGATGTTCTATGTACGTTGCGCACCTGTTCAAGGCATGGAAGTACTACCAGGAAAAGACATTGGCTTCCCTATCCAAGCAGTGAATTTGGTGGAGCCTATCCCTGAGCAAGTGTGCATAGGATTGCACTGGTTATGGAGGCCACCGGGCACAGCCAGTACCTTTGCTGAGCTTCCTGTGACTATAATATACTCTGGACCATGTAGAGGGTGGAGAAGGCTGTCTTGACAGTGCTGCAGAAAGTGCCACCAGCTGTGGGAGGGGAGAGTGCAAGACAGGCAGGGTCATGGAGGCCCACCTGAGGTGGGAATGCAATCTCAGGTGCACTGCCAGCTGCATCCCCTTCGAGTAACAAGAAAGACCTCTGCCACCCGCAGGCTGTTCTCACCCTGCTTCTCTCCTCCCCCCACATTCCCGCAGTTTTCCTGGATCCCCCTTCCAACCTGACTGTGCAGCGGATGGAGTCACCAGGGAAACTGAATGTGAGTTGGCTGCAGCCCCCGGTTGTACACCTGGACAACAGCCTCCACTATGAGCTGGCCATCTTCCCCGAGGGTTACAAAATCCCACAGGTAAGTCACTGGCTCTATGCCACCCGACTCTGGAAGCTGCCTGCCTGCCTCTTGCTTCTGTTTTTATCCTTTGCCTCCAGGTGGAGCATGTCAATGGGCGGACACATCTCATCATATCTCTGAAAGCTGGGTCCCGCTACACACTGGCCGTGAGGGTCAAGCCTAACGGAGTCAGCTATGATGGCTACTGGAGTGCCTGGTCACAGGCTGTGTCCAGGACCATACCAAATGGTAAGTTCCCTTTAAGGTGCTACTTAATGATTATTGCCTATTAATTATTCTATTAATTATTTTATTTTATTATTCCCAACCTGCTGCCATCAAGGAGGTTGGGACTATACCACCCAGCATTCCTGACCGTTGGTCATGCTACTTGAGGCTGATGGGAGTGGAAGTCCAAAATATCCAGTGGGCAACAGATGGATTTATGTTATCTATATCTTCAGGCTAAACAAAATGATCAAATACATTATTAAAATGGAATTATTAAAATGGAAACATAAAACTTTTTTATTTTTATTTATTTTATTTGGGTATTTTTATCCCATCCAATTACGACATGTCTCTGGATGGCTTACAAACAGAACACCCAATAAATACATATAATAACCCATAATAATCCACGACAGAGAATAAAACATAATTAAAATATTTAAACTTTAAAATTATGGAAAAATAAAAAGTTCTTAACCTGGCGCCAAAAAGCATATAATGTCGGTGCCAGGCAGACCTCTCTGGGGACTGCATTCCATAGCTGGGGTGCCACCGCAGAGAAGGCCCTTTCAAACAGAAGAGATCTGAAAGCAAATTTACAGTTCAACTTGAAATAAGCAAGCCATAAGTTAAAATACACAGGTATATCTTACAAACCTAGGAGAATAATAAGTTCTACTCTGGCTCCAACAAGACCATAAAGAAGGCAGCTGTTCCACAGCCCGGGAGCTGCTACGGAGAAGGCCTTCACTCGAGCGGTCACTCGCAAGGTGAAAGCACTTGGAGCAGTGGTCTGAAGGTCTTGAGGTCTGGGCTGGCATACATGGGAGCTTGGTCCCAAGGCATTAAGAGCTCAGGCCAGCACTTTCAGTTGCATCCACAAACTGACCAGGAGTTACTGTCACTGACAAAGTGCTAGCATGACATGATCCAAATGCCCAGTCCCAGTTTGTGACCATGTGTGTCTGTGTCAGTACAACTGTGGTTTCTGGGTTGTTTTTACAGACTGCCCCGCACACCGTGCATGTGCCAGTCCCAGTGAAAGGTAATCAGAGTGAGGATAACTCTAACTAAGCTGTCTCCATCCAATATAGTCACGGCCAGCATATGAGCCAAAACTCCTTTTCAGAGTTCCTTTGACCTGTCAAGGCCACTTGAGTCTCCAGGGACAATGCTGGCCCTATAAGTGAACCTGATCCTTTAGAGGGAGTGCATGCTCTTCCGGAATGGATGAATACCACTTAACTTGGTAGATGAACCATTATGATGGATAGCTAGGCAGTTGAAGCCACCCACTGTTTGTTGCGGTTTACTTAGGAGGGAGACCTGTGTCCATGCTCAGGGATCTGGAATCTGCATAGTCATAGTCATACCCGGAAGCATGGAATGATGTTTGAAAATCATGAGAGCCTAAGTTTCTGTTTTTTTTAAAAAAAGCAAAGCAACACACACAGAGAGAACATGTTTCTAGCCCTCCTGGGTATAAGAACAATGTAAAAAGAGTATAGGCAGTTTCTCCCCACTCCCCACAGAGAGAAGAAGGAGAGGGCAGCAACAACAAGCCAGAACAAGCACAATCCACTCCAGGTTTATCCAGCACAAGTCCTTGCACAGTTATGCACCCAGGGTAAGATTCCTGATGGATGCTCTCCCCACCAAACAGTGGCTAAGTCTGGAGAGCTGTTTTGTGCAAGGTGGTCCATAACCTGGGGCTAGTGACGAAAGAGTGGAAAGGTGTACACTGACTCCCAGCTTTGACTTGGGCCTCAGTTTAGTGCTTTGGAAAATGGCCCAAGCTTAGCACGCACCAATTCAGATTCCATCTGCCTCCATACCAAACCTGAGTTGAGGTTTGGAAATCTAAGGTTTTGTACTTCCCATTAACAATCATGGCAAAGCCCAAAATGGCTATAACTCTTTTTTTCTTAGTCAGAATTAGATGATGATTCCATGCATAGTAGCCCCATAGGAAGGGGGTTTGCCTGCCAGGTGTCAGAAAAATAGGTTCAGAGATCTTACTCCTACATTATATGCAGGAATTGCTGTTAACCATATTATTTATCAGAAAAAGTGGATTAAAATTTCAGAGTTGTCTTTCTGAGGGAGTCAAGTGTAACAATATAGTCATGGCGGGTGATCGTCATCAGGGACTCCCAGCTGAGGGGCACTGAGGCGGCAGTGTGCCGCCCTGACCTTGAGGCGAGGGAGGTCTGTTGCATGTGAAGGATAGAGTGGAGCGTCTTGTTCGCTCCAGGAGTCACCAGTTGCTTCTGGTGATCCATGTGGGGACGAATGACATAGCCAGGCAGGGTGTGGGTGGGATCACCAGAGACTTTGAGGCCTTGGGAAAGAAACTCAGGGACCTAAAGGCCCAAGTTGCCTTCTCATCTATCTTACCGGCCCGAGGATTTGGGCCAGGCAGGGAAAGGAGGGTCACTGAGGTGAACGACTGGTTTAGAGTGTGGTGCCAGAAGGAAGACTTTGGGTTCCTCTACCATGGCACCCAGTTTCTTGCCAATGGACTTCTGGCAAGGGATGGGTTGCACCTTACGAGGATGGGGAAAAGTTCCTTCAGAAATGCTCTAGTTAGCTTTGTTCAGAAGACTTTAAACTGAGCCGGTGGTGGGGTTCAGCCCCCCCAAAAACTTGTCCTGATTGGACAAGTGTGGGGAGAGGATCAGGGCTCTGGGACCAGGGTGTTAGAGGTACTGCAGGGGCTGACAGGACTCCTACAAGGAGGGGGCCAGTATCAGGGAAGATGGGAGGAAGGAGGAGGCTGGGCATCCCAAAGAAAGGAAGCTGTGGGAAAGAGCTGAGGTGCATGTACACCAATACTAGGAGCCTGGGTAATAGGCAGGAAGAGCTTGAAGCTCTCCTGGGAATAGGAGGGTATGACCTGGTGGGGATCATGGAAACTTGGTGGGATGAAAGGCAACATAGAGGGCTATCACCTGTTTAGAAAGGACAGGAAGGGAAAGAGGGGTGGGGGCGTAGCTTTATATGTCAGGGAAGGGAAAGGATGCAGTGAGATAGGATGCAGCACAGATAGAGGCAGTCTGGGTGAAACTGAGGGGTTTTGACAGGAAGAGGGACCTGACAGTGGGTAGTATGTTATCACCCTCCAGGTCAACTTGAGACCCTGGATGATGTCCTGACAGATCAGATTCAAAGGATATTTTGTGGGAGAGACATAGCAATTATGGGAGATTCCAATCTTCCGGATATTAGTTGGGAGACTCACTCAGTGGTGACAGCCAGGTCACATCACTTGCTAGACGCTATAGAGGGAAGGTTTTTCATGCAGAGGTCCGAGAGGTGACAAAGGGGAGGGGGGAATATCCTTGACTTGGTTTTGATCAACAGGGAGGAGTTGACAGATGGGGTGCAGATTAGGGGTGTTCTGGATGAGAGTGATCACTCCATTTTTTGCTTTGAGATCAAGGGAATTGGGACATGCAGCAGGTTGAGTACCAGAAGCTGGGACTTCAAGAGGGCCATCTTTGGCCAACTGAAGGCCAGACTGGGAAAGTCTCTTGGGATAGGATACTGGAAGGCAAGCGAGTTGAGGAGGGGTGGATGGCACTCAAAAGGAAGGTTCTGAAGCCACAAGCCTTGATGATACCTCTAGTTAGTGAGGTGGGGGATGAAGGAGAGTGCCACAATGGATGCGAAAGGAGGTGGTTAGAGGGACTAGATGCAAGAGGAACCTCCGTAGGAAATGGGTACTGGGGAAAATAGACGAAAGAGTATACCAGGAGGAGGAGTCCCATTGCAGAAGGGTTATTTACAAGGCTAAGGCTGATTACGAGCTTATTCTTGCAAAGAATATCAAGAGCAAAAAAAAAAGGGCTTCTATCAGCATGTAAATAGCAAGAGGAAGGGGAGACTGGTAGTGGGACCACTTAATAAGAAGGAAGGGGATTCAGTGAGGGAACAGGCACAGAGACTTAATGACTATTTTGCCTCTGTGTTCTCCCCAAAGTTGGATGGGGGAGAGCCACACGGAGGATCAGATGAGGCCAGGGACTTAGAGGTACAGATTAGAGTCACCTCCCTAGAAGTCGAGGAGCTCCTCAGGGCATTGGATCTTACAAGATAAGTCACCCCCCCCCCCCCAGAAGACAAGCAGCTCCTCAGGGCAATGAATGTTACAAAGGCACCAGGCCCTGACGGGTTACACCCAAGAGTACTTCAGCAGTTGGTGGGGGTCCACTCGTGCCCACGGGCCCCCATTTTTGAGGCCACGTGGAGAACAGATGAAGTTCCAGAGGTCTGGAGGGTGGCATAAGTGGTCCCAATTTTCAAAAAGGGTAGTAGAAGGGACCTGGGAAATTACAGAAAAGTTAGCCTTACGTCAATTGTAAGAAAAACAATGGAAAGGCTCATAATAGTGAGAAATCTAGAAACCCTAGATAGGGAAGGGAGGTTGGCGGCCACACAACACAGCTCCTGCAATAACAGGTCCTTCCAGATGAATCTTGTGGAATTCTATGACAAGGTTTCAAGGCGGCTAGACAGACGGGATGCAGTGAATTAGGTTTACCTCGATTTCAGCAAGGCCTTTGACAAAGTGCCACATGATATCCTGGTAGAAACTGAGGAGTTTTGAGATAGACCAGTGCACTGTCCAATGGATTAGGGCATGGTTGACTGACCAAAAGCAGAGGGTAACCATTAGTGGGGAATCATCAGGATGGCAGCCAGTGACAAGCGGGGTCCCCCAGGGCTCTGTCCTGGGGCCGATCCTGTTCAGTCTTTTCATCAATGACATGGAAGAAGGGGTGAACAGTCTGCTGATCAAATTTGCAGACGATACTAAAACGGGGACAGTGGCCACAACTGAGGAGCAGGTACTCCAGATCCAAAAGGATCTGGACAGACTATGGAAGTGGGCAGGAGACAACAGGATGGCGTTCAATGTGGATAAGTGCAAGGGTTTGCACTTGGGGCATAGGAATGGGTGCCATAAGTACAGGTTAGAGGTCAAGTGGCTGGAGAGCAGCACTTGTGAAAGGGATCTTGGGGTGCTGGTTGACTGCAGGCTAAACATGAGTCAGCAGTGTGATGCGGTGGTCGAGAGGGCGAACACCACCCTTGATTGCATAGCCAGAAGCGTGGCTTCTATATCAAGAGAGGTATTACTACCACTCTATACGACTCTGGTGCACCCGCAACTGGAGTATTGTGTTCAGTTTTGGGCCCCTCGTTACAGGAAGGATATAGCCAGGCTAGAGTCTGTGCAGCGTAGGGCCACAAGGTTGGTGGCTGGTTTGCATGGAAACCCGTATGAGGTGAGACTGAGGGAACTGGGTCTTTTCAGCCTGGAGGAGACTCAGAGGGGGCCTGTTGGTGACATACAGGTATGTGAGGGGGTGTCACACAGAGGTGGGCAGAGACCTGCTCTCCCCCTCAGTGGAAGGAAGTACACTCTCCAATGGAGCCAAGCTCAGGGAACCAAGGTTTAGTTTGGATGCCAGGAAGTACTTCCTGACAGTTAGGGCCCTGAGGGTATGGAATGGGCTTGAGGGAATGGGAGGTCATTGAGGCCCCATCGGTGAGGGTGTTCAAGGATAGGCTGGACATGCTCATGTTGGGCATGTCGTGAGTGGAGCTGGCTGGAGCCGGGGGTCCGACTAGATGGCCCAGAGGGGGCCTTCTCACTCTGTTTTGATGAAATGTATGAAACAGATTTTGAAATGATAGCTGCAGATGTCTTAGTGCAAGAGCAGCCTTGACTTTTTGATGGTCCTAACGTGAACTACTTTATCTGAAAATGACAGCATAGAGGTGATCCTGAGGAAGAAAATTTTAAAATGACAGAATGTAGGTTTATGTGGAAGGGGAGTCCTCCATCCGGGATGGGTGTCAAGTGATTAATTTCTCTTTCTTCCTCCCTGTATTTTTGGGCAACTTCTATGAAAATGTTGCTGGAGGCAAGTAACATGCAAAATTTTCAAAGGAAATTAAAAAGTTGGAATGACTGAAATTAAGGCTTATTTCATAGTGAAGTCTGATGGCACTGGGGGAATGGCCATTTCATGGTCTTATACTTGCCCTACACCAAACACAGTGACTGGGGCCCCAGGAAAAACATGCCCCCAGCATTAAAAGCTGGACCTATCTTTTGCTGAACAGCTCTCCTTCCTGCTTGCATAATTGGGCAAAGTGGAGATACTAGAAACAGCATGTGCATGTTCCCTGTATCTCCAAAACACAAGCCACATTCTGAAGCGGCTATGGTTTGCTAGCCTTTGGAAAGAATGATAGAGTCATAGAATACTAGATTTGGAACGGGCTATGAAGACCATCAGCTGTTTCAGGACACCAAGTTACACCATCCCACTCAGATGGTTGCCTAGTTTTGCCTTGAATGTCTTTAGTATGGGAGAGCGCACCACTTCACCAGGCAGCTGGTTCCACTGCCATATTGCTCTGAAAGTGAGGAAACTTTTCCTGATGTCCAGCCTGAACTTGGGTTGTCGCAACTTGAATTAATTATTCCGTGTCCAACACTCTGGCATCAGCAAGAAGAGATCATAACCTTCCTCCTTGTGGACATTGAGGTACTTATAGAGTGATACCATATCCCCCCTCAGTCTTATCTTCTCAAGGCTAAGCATGCCCAGTTCTTTCAGTCTCTCCTCAAAGGGCAGTGTTTCCAAAGCCTGGATCATTTTTGTTACCCTCTTCTGGACCCTTTCTAATTTTTCTGCACCTTTCTCAAATCTGGGTGCCCAGAACTGGACACAGTATTCCAGACAGGTCTGACTAGTGAGGAATATAGGGGAACTACTACTTCTCATGATTTGAAAGTAATACCTTCTATTAATGCATCCCAAATTAGCATTTGCCCTTTTGGCACCTGCATCGAATTGTTGGCTGATATTTAACCTATTGTTCACAATTACTCTGAGATCTTTTTCTTGTTCAGTACTGTTGAGCCATGTATTCCCCATCTTGTATCAACACATTTTTTCCTAGGTGGAGGACTTGGCACTTTCCCTTATTGAATCTTATTCTGTTGCTTCCAGTCTAGTGTTCATGTTTATCAAGACCAACCTTGTGGAATTCTGTGGCAAGGTTTTGAGGTGGCTAGACAGATCGGATGTGGTGGATGTGGCCTGGATTTCAGCAAGGCCTTTGACAAAGTGCCGCATGATATCCTGGTTGAGAAACTGAGGAGTTTTGGGATAGACCAATGCAGTGTTCGATGGATTAGGGCATGGCTGACAGACCAAAAGCAGAGGGTTAATCTTAGTGGGGAATCATCAGTGATGAGCGGGGTCTCCCAGGGCTCAGTCCTAAAACCTATCCTGTTCAATCTTTTCATCAATGACCTGGAGGAGGAGGTGAAAAACCTGCTGAACCAGTTACCCTCTGTCTCCTTTATAATTGAGAATTCAAGTACCTTTCTGTATAATTGGGTTAGGGCACCTATTAGAATGGTCCCTTTCCCTCAGAATTTCCATGGTTGTTATTTTCTCCACCAGTCCATCTCTGTTAGTTAGTGGTAAATCTAGGATAACTGATCCTCCAATATATTCCTCTACTTTCTGCTGGAGGAGGTTTTCAGCAATGCATGTCAGGAATCTCTTGGAGGGGCCATGCTTGTCAGAATTTGTCTCCCAGCATGTATCAGGGAAATTGAAGGCCCCCATGATGACTACATTGTTCTTCCTGGAAATGCTGGCAAGTTGCTTTTTGAAGGTTGCATCCTTGTCCTCTTTTTGAATGGGTGGTCGGTAATACACACCAATACCTATGTTTTTCTTATTTTTTGCTCCCTTTAAATTAAGCCAGATGCTTTCAATGGGGCTACTAAGTTCCTCTTCTTGTATTTCTATGCAAACTTTTCCCACCTTTCCTTGGGAAACAACAGAACAGGAGGAAAGTGGCCCAATTCAGCATGGGATTTG